CCCCGCCCCACCCCAGATGTGCAGGGCTTGCCCCTGCCCCACTGCCTACCTCACTGCCAGTGGAGGGGGCAGATTGAGGCCCCAGTGGTGAAGGAGGGAGTGGGACTAGGGCTGAGGCCTTGAGTTACCTCGCTACCCCCCAGCTCTTTCCCCTCCCTGCTTCTCTCCCCACAGACATACCTGCTGGCTGGGGGGGGGGGGGGGGGCGGGCGCTCCTTTTAAATTCCAAAGGTGATCTCTGACTTTAAAAGGTTGGCGACCGCTGATCTAGACAAATCTCATGCATTCTGACAATGGAACCACAGGCTTGGGAGAGAGCTGAGGCATAGCTCCAGACAAGGTCCAGCCACTGCTGGCTGGTTTGGCTATAGCCTCAAAGTGGCCTTCTCCTGTCCTAAGGCTGCCACCTGGGTCTGCAGGGCCCTGTTCTGTATGTGCAGGATGTCCCCCTGGGGGCACATTTCCCACCGGCTGGCCAACAAATCCTTCAGATAAATGGGCGCCTGGAAAGGATCCACATGGTCAGAGAACTGGGACCCCTTGGATTGATCTGGGCAACCTGGAAGGTGGTTGGTCAGTCTGAGTGTATCACACTAGGTCAGGGTTTTACTGAAGTGAAAGATAGGGTCAAAGCTGGGTATTAGTCCTAGGGCAAGCAGCTGATCCAAGCTGGGAGATCCAAGACAAGAGTAGGAGCAAGCAGGAACAGGCAGGAGGTTCCATGCCAGAGTTTCAGAGCATGGAGACATGATTAAGTGTTCCAAGCAGACCAGGGGCACTTCAAAGCAGTCTGTTGACCAGGCAGTTTGTTGCCATGTGGTCCTAGCAAATACAGGCCAGTGAGAGCGGGGCCCTCCTCTGAAGCATGACTCAGTCTGATTCCCTGATTATACCCAGCTGGGGCCCTGGACTGGATCTGCCTCAATTAGGCCATGGCTAAGTACACAATCAATGCAAAATAGACTGGTATTATCACCTCCCAAGTCTTACATCTAATACCCTTGTTGATGCAGCCTAAAACCACATCCATCTGTTTTACAGCTGCATCACATTGTAGGCTCATGTTGAGTCTGTGATCCACAAAGCCCCCAACAGCTTCTTTGTAGTGCTGCCATTAACCAGTTATCACCCATTCTACATTTCTGCGTTTATTATTATTCTTCCTTAGGGGTAGAAACTTACATTTGTCAGCCGTGAACTTCATCCTGTTGCCTCTAGATCAGCAATCCCATCTATCAAGATCCTTCTGAATTCCACTCCTATCCTCCAGTGTGTTTGCAGTCCTTGTCAGTTTTGTGTTGTCTTCATATTTTCTCAGGAAGGTCTCTATTCTGTATCCAAATCATTAATACATGCACTGAACATCACTGGACCCAGGACAGACCCCTATGGGACTCCATTCAAAACCTCCTGCCATTTTGAAATGGATGCACCTATATTTACCTCTTGCTTACCAAGTACACTATTTCCACTGCATTTCCTTCATCTATCTAACTAGTTACTTTGTCAAAGAAGGAACTCAGACTTATTTGGTATGATTTATTCTTAGCAAATTCATGCTGGCTGTTTGTGATTAGCCTTTCCTTCTTGTTTACAATGAATGAACTGGCTTTTCCTTCTAATAGCATAACACGGAGTGGGTGAGCAGGGCACATGCCTTAGGTGCTGCCTAAGGTGAGGGTTTCCAGGATGGGGGGGGGGGAGAGGGGGTGGTGCTTATGGCAGGCTCCTCCCTGCAGCCTACCTCACTGCTGTCAATGTTGCCTCTTTCTGCCATCACTTTCTGGCTCTAGGAGGCAGGAGCCCAACAGAAGGTAATGTGGGAATTGTAATTTGTAGAGAGACAGTGGAGTTTGCTGCTGCTGAGGAAAGAACTGATCATTTTCTGCTATTAAAATCAGCAATGTTTTGCTCTCTGGACATGATCTGGCAGCAAATAAAAGTTCTGAAAGTCCTCCTCCCTAGGAGCAGCAAACTCCACTGCCAGAACTACGATTCCCGGAACTACTTGCACTCAGCCTGGCTCAGTTTCCTTCCTGCACCTGGAGAAGGAAGGGTGGGAGCTTCCCAGGTCATGTTTTTTTCCATGTTATATCTCTGCTTCCTTCAAGCCACTTCTTTCCCAACAGGTAGTGCAGGAAGTGCACTGAGGTCTAAGCCCACCATGTTATAGACAGGCTGCCAGTCATCACCAGGTTTGATCATTTCTGTTGTGTGGAAATGAAAAACTAGGAATAATGAAAAACTAGGAATATTCCACTCAGCCAGAAAGTGCCATAAATTAAAAGCTTTGTTCCTGTACCTCCAAATGGTATGATGAATTCAAAAATATCCCTCTTACAGGAGAACTGAAGAAGTGGACCAGATATTTTCTCTCCAGCTGCTGCCCCATATCCTTTCTTACTCCATCTTATCATCAAATACACCCTTTAAAGTTCCCATCAGGAATATCTGTCCTCCAAAGGTATCATCCACCTTCTGTAATCCAGTGTCTACCCCCTGCACTCCATTGAAAAGACACTCACCTGTCTTAATGATTTCTTCCTTTTCAACCCCAGAACTAGGTCTCCATCTTCATCTTTCTGTACCTACCTTATGCCTTCAGCACCATCAACCATCTGGGAAAGGTGTTCTCTCTCCTACTCAGAGACAGTGGCCTTTCCTGGTTCTCCTGTGCCTCTCTAGTCACTCCTTTTGAATGTCCTTAGAGGTCATTCTTCCTTGCCCCTGCTCTCACTGAAGGCCTTTGCTCCCCCAAGGTCTCTGTTGTTTGCCATTTTCTCTTCTCCCTTTGTACCTTGTCTTTGGGCAGTCCCATTCAAACATGCACTTTAACTATCACCCTTGTGCTGACATTTCCCAGATCTTGTAACCACACCTGGAGATCATTTTAAGAGGAAACATTATCCCAGTCTCTAAGCACCTACATAGATGGAATTTTCTAATGGTAAGGGGTTCTTTAATCCAACAGATAAATCAGAATGAAATCCAGCGGCTGGGGCCCAGGGACATTCTAGATTCCCTTTCACTCTACATTTTTAACATTGAGGTACTTACGTGAGTGTTAAGACCTGACTTTCACAGGACCTGAGCATCTACCTCCTGATTATGCTTTGAGAATCTTAGGAATCCAAGCTTCTCTTCATAAAAGCTTTGCTTTAGTTTGATGACAAGTGATTAGCTGAAGGCCCAATTCACAGGGTGACATTGGCTTGTCTCTCTTTTATCTCCTCATGGACATCCATATGCCAGCATGGTTAAAACTGTCTTCCCTCCCTCCTCACTCCTCTTTCAAATACTGGGAACACCGCCCCATCCTGCCTGTCAATCAGGTCCTCCCCTGGGCATCGCCATTTACTCTACCCTGGGCAAATCTACACAAGATGGTGACTGTGCAGTAGCCTGATACTACTGCACAGTAGTGTTGTGTGGCAAAAACCATGATGTGATGCTATTGCGCAATTGCATTAGTCTACTGCACAGTAGCGTCACAAAAGCGTTTGCTGGTGCTACTGCACAGTAACTCCAGTTACTGAGCAATTATGTAGTACTTGTTTATACACGTACTAAATAGATGTGCAGTAACCACTGCGCAGTAGCGTCTCATGTAGATGTGGACTCTGTGTCTCAGTCTAAATTTTGCTCCTTCCTCCTGTACAAAGCTCCCATACCAGCCTTTCCTGTCCATCCACACAGCTGGGTTCTAATGCCTCAACTTACTGCAACTTCATCTGCTCCAGTGCTGAGCGAGTTGTGCCATCTCCCCCGCTCATGTCCTCTCAACTTGCTGCTGATATTCCCTTTTACTACATCCCCCCTTCTTTTGTCCCTCCTTTCCACCCTCTTACTTCATCAGATGGAAACTGCTGGACCTCACTTTTAGGGGCTTTCCTCCACCTCCTTGCCCATTACCTCTCCTACACTAATGATACAAACTCTGCCATCAGCCACCATTGCTCATTTGGCAAAGTTTCAAGATGGCACTGTGCATTGTCACCCCTCTGCCACTCCTGTCTGGAATCTGCTTCTCAGCAACATCCCCATACCAACACAGTATTCTGTCATGTTTCTCCATAAAACTGTCTTCTACCACAATACCTATGAGCATCTGACAGCAGCCAGGCAATTGTAGTATGCAAACTTCAATTGCTTTATGCTGAAACTGTGAGCCCTTTTGTGCCTAGACTGAAGAACTTGGCATCAGGAGCTCTCCCTGACTTGGGTCTCTAGATGGTAACATTGCCTATTGAGGCAAGCTACTCCTAGCATGTCAGAGGCTCTGCCTCTGCTCTTAACTGTGCTATCTCAGAGTCTCACGAGTAGGAACCTACCTAAATTGGTATGAGGCGAGGGTTTTTTGTGGCCTGCTTGCAGTGCACAGAGCCACTTTCATGGGCGTTTTATGGGGGCACTGCCCCTTGTTGCTGATTGGCCAAGAGGCTTCAGAGGCCCTGCCCCTCACCGTTGACTGGCAGAGAGGCCCTGGCAGGATGAGGGGGCAGCTGCCACCTTGACTGCTCCCCTTTGTGCCACTCCACCACCCAGTGCCTTTCCCCCACTGGCAGGTTGCAAGGCTGGGCAACAGAAGCCATGAGAACTGCCAGTTCCCACTGGGTAGCCAGCATTTTCTTTTTAGCAAGTTTTTATTTTTTTCAGGTGATTCCATGGGAAATCACGACAAATGGCTTTTGTCACAGCAGTCGCAGAAACTGCCATTTTTTGCAGTTTCTGCAAAAATTGTGAAAGCACAATTTAAGTAGTTCGCTACTCATGAGCCTAGTGGTCCAGTGGAACAATGCTTAGGGATCAGTAGGTAAAAGTATGTTCAAAGGGCTGGATGCTCACTCAGCTACTGTGTACCAAAAGCAGAGGGAGGCCTGGGAAAAAAGAAGGGTGTCACTAGAAGTGCCTGATGTGGAAAAAACTTATATTTCACAAGACTCTTGGTGTATCTAGTCTGGACTCAGCACAGCAAGGGGAAGCAACTCACTTCACAGAAAATTTATTTAGTGTCCATCTAGTAACTGACTGCCCATAAAACTGACTGAATGACACATGCCTAAACCCTGGGCAGGCACTAACAGGGTGCCCTAAATTGTAGCCCCTGGCTCTGCCACCCCTGGGCTTCCTCACTTACAGCTCTGCAGCCGTCTCCTTTGTTACTCCTGTTATGGGTGCCTGGCGACGACTTTTGAGTTTTAGTTAGTGAAGGACCAGACTGGGAGTTCCCAAACTTATTTCATCATTTCTTGCCTGTTGTGCACTTGCATGCACGCTTCCCACCCCGTCTTCTCTCTTTGACATCTAGCCCCTTCCCTCCCCTATGCTCAACCCTGACTGAGTGACCTGAGGGATCTGGGCCAGAATAGGACCGGCCTGCCTTCAGAGCTGTGGGCTAATGGTGCATCTGCTTTGTCTTTCAGAGGCGAATCAGCGAATGGGGGTGATCGGGGCAGGGGCCCTGCTGGCTCTATTGCTCATCCTCCTACTCTCATTGCTCTGCTGCTGCTGTATCTGTCGCAAGAAGGAAGATGCCCACAGGTGAGTGTCTGTATCATGGCACTGATAACAGGAGCCTCAAGTGTGGCCTTTCCAGGATCATGGTTCTCCTGGAACTGATGGTATGCTGGCATTGGCCAGCAGCCTTTTGGGTTCACGCTGCTGCAGTAGGGTCTGGCCATGCAGTGTATGGCTGGAGACAGGAGGTCACTTCCAGCAGAGCTACCAGCTGCAGTTATTAGTGCAAGGGGTGGCAGGAAACGATTGTTTAGCTAGTTCTGTGAAACATAGTAAACACAACAATTGGTTGCTATAGTGGCAACTTTTTATAGAAGTTTTCCAGTTTTCATGAAAATGTTTGAAGCAACATGAAGATTTTCCTTTATATCTTGAAAACTATCCGTAGCCTGAGACTCTCCCAGGATAGGAAATCCTCTTGGTAACATTCTCCAGCACAAACTGCCAGGGTCACACACTCCTTACCAACTAGGCAGTAGTTAAGCCTGAAGATGTCTTAGAGCAGGGGTGGGCAAAATGCGGCCCAGGGGCCAGATGTGGCCCACCAGGTTATTCTATCTGGCCTGTGGGGCCCCTAAAAAATTTAGAAAATTAATATTTATCTGCCCCTGGCTGCCTATCATGTGGCCCTCGATGGCTTGCCAAAACTCAGTAAGCGGCCCTCTGCCCACAATAATTGCCTGCCCCTGTCTTAGTGTGTCTGCCTGGCACTGAGAGCTAGGAGCAATGAGCAAAGGGCAGAGAACAGCTGGGAGTTACATGGGAAGCTAAAGATTCAAGCAGGCTGGGAAGGCAGGAGCAGAGTTCCCAGCAGTGACAGCCATAGTCATTGTTGCTGCATTAATGGGGAGCAATTGTTCACTTGTCTGTACTAGTGGCAGTTTGACCAGGGTTATTACTGTGTGTGATATGTCTGGGACCCGAGACCAATATTTATATAATGGATGAATCAAAATCTTTGCCCTTGCCCACCATCTGAGGGCTTAAAAAAGTAAAAAGCAACAAAAGGCTGGTGCTGCATGAGTGCAAACCTGGCAAGTTCCTGGGACTGTCCAGTGACAACATGTCCATGGTGCTGCAGAGGTCTTTATACACATGGAACACAGATGTGGCACAGGAGTTAAACACTGGGTTACAAAAAATGTGTTCATATCAGTTGGGGCCAAAGTACAGCCATTGAAGTATATGGGCTTAAGATGCTGAGCTTCTTCCTGAGGCCAACTTTCCAGTCCTTTGCAGGTCCCAAAACTTTCTGAGCCTCAGTATTGGCATCTGTAGCCATGATTTGGGGGTTACAGGAGTACATTTTCCTTCAGGGACTTGGCAAGACCCAGTTTATTAACTGTATAGCACTTAAACATCCTCACTATGCAAGTGCTCCCAGCCCCTTCCCCTAAGCGAGAGCTGTCAAAATTGAGACCCACAGGCTGCATGAGGCCCCTGTAAGGTTAACCTGTGGCCCCTGGGATTCTGGTCCAGGCGCTAATCCCCACATTGCTCCACTGCTGCTGTCACCAGAGTCTCTGATCTTCCCATTCTCTCTTCCAGCCTCTGCTTCTTGTTCCTGTCCCTGGGGGTAGGGTAGGATGGGATGGCCTGTGGGACTAAGGGAGCCCACAGCCAGGGAGCTCAGGCAGATGCCAGTGCTGGACAACTAAGGGGACCTGCAGTGCAGCAAGGGACCCCACATAGTTTAGAATGCTTCTTGCATGGCACGGGGCCCAGCAATGCCCTGCTCAGAAGTTGGACAGTCCTGCCCTAGGGTAAGGGACATTTTGGTGGAGAAATGCAACAGTACCAGCAGATTAGGTAAATCCATTTAACTAGAGCAGGGTATTCCTTAACAAATCTAGAAATGGTCCTTGCTCATCACCAAAGCAAAGGAGATGAGTGTGTGTATTCCTTGCAGACAGACAGCTGTGCCAGTCCATAACGAGTTCAGTGTTTAAGCTGTGCACTGGTGACTACAGGTGTCCAATGTAATTCCCAAATGTGTAGGACCCCTCTGAGCAGCCCGCTGCATGGGGAAGAGAGTGGGAGTAGGGGTTCTGTAATGCAACAAACAACAACAGAACAAGTTCTGACAGACAAATTCAGACAAGGATTTGGTGCCAGTTTATATGGGGATTCTCCATCATTAGCTGACTGTCCACTGGGACAGGGTGTGAGGGTTTTGTAAGGACTTAGGTGGCTGAACCTGCAGGTAGGCCCTAAAGGGCAACCAGAATGTCAGGCAGGTGGGGGTACAGGTTACCAAGGCTTCAGATCAGGGTCTGGATCAGTGGAGCGGAGAACATGGGACCAGATCCCAAGAGAGCTGAGAGGGAGATCTGAGAGGTGTAGTTTGGTGTGCAAGCTGAGATCAGAAGCCAGGAGAATTAGAGAGCCGGTACAGAGTTCCAAGGAAGATCCAAGATTAAAGTCAGGAAAAGCCAAACCAAAACCAAATCAGGAGCCAGGAGAACCAGAGAAAGCAGCAAACGTGAGGCTTGCTGGAGCAGTTTGAGACTGTTGTCAAGGTATGCCTGTAGTCTGAGGCTGTAGGTGTGTTTAAAAGGGCTGAGTGGCAGTCTCAGCAGGCAATCCAGTTATAGAGAACAGGGGCAGTTGGATTCATCCAGGATCAGGATCAGGTGTGGAAGCTCAAGAGCTCAGCCCAGCTGGGCCCAACTGACCACATGCCCTGACATGGGATCCTGCATGAGCTTAGGTGGTGGATGGACTCCTTTATGCTGGAATAACCGTAGGGCTTCTCTGGCCAATGCGATACAAACGTACATACCCGGATGCTCACAATGGCCTCTTCTGGCCTAACATTCTTAACCCAATCCAATCCAATCCAATCCAATCCAATCCAACTGTGACTATACTTGCTCAGCCAGGGGTCCAGCCTCTCCACCCTTAAGCTCTTAGGTGGGCTCTAGCTCCCCCACATCTTTCCCTGTCCTGCTGCTTAGCCACAGCTTTGCTTCTCCACCCACCACCATATGCTGTTCAACCAGGGCTCTGCCCCACATGCTTCTTTTCATGCTGTTCATTTTTTACCCTCCCCTTTGTGCTGTTCAGCCAGGACTCTTCCCTCAGCTTCTGCTGCTCAGCCAAGGCCCTAGCCCCTTCAATGCTTTCTCAGCAGTAGAGTAGCAGTAGAGCCTTTAAAATCATCTACAGAATCTGTTCCATAAGTATTTTCCATAATGTCCAAGCTGTTCCTGTCAATCCTTTTCAAACATTTTCATATCTCAACCAAGATTATCCTGCAAAATTGTAGCCTAAAATGTGAAGTCTTCTGAAAACTCCAAGTAATTGCAAAGAGCATCATAGTAGCTCTTAAGCAGCCCTCACTTTCAGGGCTTATCATCATCTTCCACTGCTTTTCCATCTATCTATTCATGCATCCTCCACTGTCAAGCCAGAATGCCTAACCACAGCTGAGGAGAGACTGTCCATCCAAGGATGTACCACAGCAAAACCCAGAAAACCAAAAACACTGCCAACAACGGAAAGGACATAGAAATGTAGGGAGGCAGATCATAATTACTTATGTTACGTTTTGGGTAAGAGCCTCCCAAGGAAAATTCTTCTTGTAACAAGAGCTGTGAGTTCTTTGAGGCTTCCACAGTGCCAGGTCAGCAACTGCCCAGCGACCATTGCAGTCCAAAGCAACACTGACAGTGATGGACACACACTGTGCATAGGGTACTTGGTGCCCAGGCCACAGTACTGATCTCCGTAGAAGGCTCTGAAATGGCATGCCATGTTGGTGGCTGTGTCTCTGAGATTAATTGGAGACCATGGGAGAAGGCAGAGAGGAGCCACTGATTGCCACCAAGCCAGGTAGTCTTACATCCTTGTTATATAGTAATGTTGGGGGGCTCCTGGAGCAATTAACCCCTGGATTGTCTGCACATTATCACCTGAAACTGGTTTTAAGCACTCATGCATCTCAAAGTTACGCCACTCCATGGCAGATTATCTCTGATTTATGCTACTCAAGTCATGTTACACAGGGTGCCTTTACATGTGTGCTTTAATGCACAGTAGCCTATTTTACTAAGCATTAAAGCATCACAAAAAAACCATGCGATTATGCAGATGTGCAGTAAAATAGGCTACTGCACATTAATTAAGCATCACTTTAAAATCATGCACATTCATTACTGTTCATTAAGGCAGCCTACTGTGCATTTCTTGAGTACCGCACACTGAAGGTACTATATTTAATGAGCATTATAAAAAGTGCCTTAATGCACATGTAGATGCACCCACTAAGGTGCAGCCAGGCCAGGCTATGCCTTAGTGTGAACACCCCACCTGCCCCCCTCCCCTACTGGCCTGGATTGGGCCCATTGCCTCCCCCTGCCCTCCCCAGCACTCCAGATCCCCATTCACTACCCTCCCCCCATTCCCTGCTTACTTGTGGTTAATCCTTTCTTGCCTGCTCCCGTGAAATAGACAACATAGGCAGTCACAAGTAAGAAATGCCCTGGGGACTGGGGGAAGCCCTGGAAAAGAGCCCAGAATGGTAGCTGGGGGGGATTCTTACCTTTCAGTCTTCCAAGCCCTTCTTCCTGGGCTGAAGTGTTGCTGTTCCAGACTTGAACTAGCACTAGCACCAATCGACTTTTGTGAACCTCACAGCATAAGGTGTTACAAAGCCTTTAAAGTGTAGAGAAAGGCAAGAAAATGCAGAGAACAATCAACTGAAAAAATGCCAGGCCACTTATTGGCCTTGAGATGGAAGATGAATGCTGGGGAAAGAGGAAGCCAGTTGTTTTGAGAACATATATACAGAAAGGCACAGATCATAGATCAGTGGTTCTCAACCTTTGCAGTCTCAATGCACTTCCTACCCCCCACATCTTTTCTCAAGTTAGTGGAACTCAGTGCTTATCTTGCACTGCTTTGCAGTGCTTATCTTGTCACACCCTGTGGCACCCTTAAAAGGATCTCAGCGGAGCACATCTACTAAAGATACTGACTGCAGAGTAACCTGATACAACTGCACCGCAGTGCCACATGGTAAA